AAACCTCTGGCTGACCTATATCTATTAAATAACAAAAGGGCTGTTTGCATATAGCCCTTGTGTCAACAACCCCGGTGATACCCATAGCTGCTGGTACCCATCGCTGGGTGCATGGGGGCTGCCAGAAAACAAGCCAGCCGTGAAAGTAAGGCCATCCCACACTTGACTCTTCTTGGAAAGCAAGCCCTGCTCCAGTCAGGAAAGGATGCTCAGGAGCCTTGCCCAGAGGGATGCTGAGAGCCCCAGGATGGATGGGATCAGTGCAGGCATGTCCTCACCCCTTCCTGAGCCAGGGCTGCAGTTAGGCACAGCCCAGTAGCCTGTCCCCTCTACTGGGACCATCCATGGTGGGCTGGAAGCACCCCTCAAGGTGCCTTGGGGGAGGCCCGCCAACTTTCAGCCTATCTTTTGAGATCAGAAGGTGATGGAGCATCCCAAGGAGTCCAACACTGCACTATCTCTTAATGGAGACACTGCCTGAATTTCTCCCAGCAGCGTCTGGGGAGGGATTCATCCAGAGGAGCTCCCCTTGTGTCCATGAAATTCAATGTAAGGAAGGCAAATTTATCCTTTCCTAGGGGAAAAAATATTCCCCTTCAGACAGGTCCGCCTCAGCGTGGTTGTTATCTGGGGAATTGGCTTGCCAGACACATCTACCCTCCCAGTTGGGTTTGGCTCCTGAGGACCCTGCGTGGTCCCCCCTCTCTCCATCATCCCTCAAGCCTCCATCCTCCCTGGCACACTGGCTTCCCACCTCTCCCCTCACCAGGGAGCTGCATGAAGCACCAGAGGCGTTGGAGACGGCTTCGGGGGAGAACCCGCTGCCAATTTGCCACAGTCTCTGAAATCCAAACCCCTACAAGCCCGGCTCACCAGATCATTTAACCCCATAGCCATGCAGCAGAGAGATGGGTGAGATAAAAGACCCTGAAAAACCCTCCGAAATTCGGCCTCGCAAAGGAAGGGCTTCTCTTCTGTAATGACTTGTTTTCTTTGAAAGTTCAAACGCAGGTCGGCCAAGTTTTAAACTGTAAAATTATACAGCGGCGAGCGGGAGAAGGGCTACGAAGGATCCCCCAGCTGGTTTCCAGCCCCAAAGGACGGTTGGAGGCTGGGGGAGGAGGGAGGAGTTATGAGGTCATGGGTGCTCCCCATCTGTACCCTGCAAAAAGCTGCCGGGGGGGCTGACATACCCCACCCAAGGGACGTTTGAGTAGGTCCTACGTAAAGAGCATCCCTTCACTGGGCTGGGGAACAAGCAGGTAGGAAGATTTGGGCTGTATTAAAACGAGGTGGGACTGGCAGAGAAAGGGAGCGTCCTCGGGGATAATTCCCAGCAGGCTGGACGGATATCCTTTTGCCAAGGGGAAGATTTTGAGGCGGAAATATTACTCCTGCCCTTAAATGGAAGAGGAGCTTCAGCCCGCAGGGAGCTGCTCCAGGCTTTCCTGTGCTGAGAGATCCCAAGAGCTCAGCCTCCATCCTCTACCAGAAACACTCCCAGGGCAAAATCCTGCCCTCAAGGGGGTCAAAAAAAAGCCTTATCAGAGGCATTGCCAGCTGGCAGGCAGGTATATGCTCTTCCACAGGGAAAAATTGCCCTTTCTCGGAGGTGGAGCGGGTGAGACGTGCTCCCAAGTGTCTTGTGGGATGGGGCCAGACCTACAGCTCCTGAGCAAGGATTAGTGCAGGGTGCTCTAGCATGGCGGTGGGATTCCCGCAGCCCAAACACTGCTGGGGTTAGGACAGCCCAAGCTGTTTCGTCTTGATTCTGCTGCACAGATGTTTTTCAGTTTCTTCTTGGTGGAGCATTTCTCCATCTCTCCTTCTTGTGGCAATTTGGGGGTGAAACCAAAGGTTTCTTCCAGGTCAGAAGTGCCAACGTTTGCTCTGGGAAGCCACCGGCTGTGAGTGCAGGACCTCACGGGTGACCACCACCTTGATTTCCTTCAGCAGGGATGACAGCATGGGACCGCACAAGGAGTGCACAAAGTCCTTTTTCCATAGTCCTCCTCTGCTCCTGCCACTGCGCCCCACAGCTCCAAGATTTGCCAGAGCCGCTGGATCCCACCTCTTCCACCTTGCTCCTGGTTTGTCCCCCTCCCCAGCTTTTATTGTCCCTGCAGAAAGTCTCCTCCTAGCCTCTGCTACTCTCCTCTCCCTAGGAAGCTGTCTCCATCCCACTTCTGGCCTGTCGCTCTCACCTCTGCTCCTCTGCGTCCCACCATCACCTTCTGCTCTCCCCGAAATACCACGTCCTATCTGGGGCCAGTTTAAGGGATGCTGGAGAGGGTCTGGGGAGGGCTTGCTGGGATGGGCTGGGGACACTCGAGGAAAGGCAGGGACTTGGGCCAAGAGGTGGCTGGGGTCTCCAGACCACGGCTCAAGGATGGCCCCAGCATGGAGAGGTCTGTGACAGAGCGCCAGACCTCCTCCTCCTCTTCCTCCCACGAAGCCACAAGTCAGGTTTGTCTCCCAAATGTAAGCAGGCACCAGGGAGACATTTGCCTGCCTTGGACCCCTGTCGGATGGTGGCACCCAGAGGAATGCCGGGTACCTCGCCGGCACGGTCACGCACCCCTGCCTCTGCACAAACCACCACAGGTAAACGTTAACAGGCTGGGGGCCGGAGGGGAGAGGCGGAAGGCGCCTGGGTGATTCATTCACGAGGTATTTAATTGCCTCCTTCAACCCCAGCTCCCCGTCCGCCACCTTTCAGCGGGGGCTCGCTTTAATTCTCCACCAGCCGATTAGCCGCTTGACTGCCCGCCGCCGGGGAGGCACCACCGGAGCAGCCGGACCCTGGTGGGAGCAGGATGGCGATGGCACGGGGCTGCGATCGAGCCGTAAAAGAGGGCAAGGGGAGTGTCATCATCCATCCCCCCACACCCACCCGGCAAAGCGGGGTGCTGCCTCCCCCGCGGTGGGGTGCATTCCAGTCCCGCAGGGATTAGTCCTTGCGTAAATACTCCCTCTGCTAATGGAGTGTTCTCCTCAGCTGGGTTTGGATTCCTGGGTTGTGTGTACGCACGCCATCAACCCGCAAAACTCCCCGATATAAACAAGGCTGAGGCCGAGGGATGCTGGCTCCTCTGACCCCTGGGATGCGGGAGGATCGGGATCAGCCTCCCTCCCCGCCACCCCCC